TCAGGTACTGCAAAATTACTATTTCTCTCACAACTACCGCCCGTTTGGTTTTGCTGTATAAGGTTATGTCCATAACACCAAAAAGAGTGGATGCAAATAAATTTGATCGCTTTATGCCTCCTTCGTCCCAATTTTTTTCGGACATCTACGATCAAGTACCAATAACTTCTAGAGCATCAAGGTTTGCACTGACAATTTGTCTGTCCTACTTTTTCGTATGTAACTACCTAAAGTAATTATATACAAATATTTTAGGCAGGCATTAGTTTGGTCTTACCTACATCACCACGATGATACTATTTGATAATTATTTATTCTTCACAAATCATTTTTTAGAACACTGAGACACGGACTAACGACAACATTTCCTCATAGATCATGGAGTGTTACTACCGACTCTTTCCAAATGGATTCTGGTCCGAGTTTAAAGCTCTTGTCCTGCTCGCCATCCCTATTGTAAGCCTGAAAATTGTCGGTTTAATGTAAAAATGGGATGAATTTTCAAACATTAAGTTGCACAAGCAATTAAATGTATTCATTTTTAAAGGCACATTATTTTAACTTCTATCTGCACCTACTTGCCAACAGAGCATACCGAAAGCAAATCCAGGACAATCACCGTTTAATCTTTTTGGCAAGTATTTATACTCTGCTAAAATGAGGCAGTAAGTATCATTCCTTACATTACAAGATGGCATCGGGTAAGGGTAAGTTTTGTTTGCTTTTAACAACGCACACAAGTTAAGTTGCACACGTAGTTCAGGTCAATCTTAGATTGAGTCCGCAAGTCTGGCCGATGTTTTTTTTAATAAAATAATATACATTACCCACCAGCGCGTATCTGAATAGTCTTATCTTGCCTGTTTAGTTCGGCTTGGTAAAAGCGCCGGATTTATGAATCTAGAGAAGTCAGACTGAAAGAAAACCACGAAGGGTAACAAATGCTAGTAAAAGCAAAATAACTTAAAACATTTCTACTTAGACCGCTAACACGGTTGGTCCTGTAATGAACAATGAAGATTAGAAGTCACTTCAAACGTCTGCTTTTATATGGGAAAAGAATGATCGATCACTTTGGTAGCCGGCAGCTTTGAAAAATCTAATCTGATGTTGGCTGCATTTGAAATTGAATCGTTCCACCATTGACGCGCGTTCTAATGTATTTCTAATCACAATATGTTTGGCCCACAATCACCGATCAATAAAATTGCAGCCATCAAAGTCAATTTCGTCTTTATTCCTGTATTAAGCTCTCAGAATGCAGAAAATTCGGAATGAATCATTTAATCATGTATTGATGAATTAAGAACGCGTGAGAAATGATTCTGCATACACCGACAATTTGTAGAAGGCAGAGGAAGGCATCAGTTTAAGTACAAGGACGGTTTCGTGAAAATGGACTCCTAGGTAAAAGAACAGGACGTTTCTTTTAAAATTAAGGTAGCTAAATATCAGCTAGTGAGTGTTAAAAAAGCGGCTTTATAATTTTTGTATTTCCTATGCTGAACACGAACCCGCTAATGCAGACGACGATGGTAATGGAGAACGAAACCATGAACATGGTACAATAACATATCTTTCCAGAAGTCCCATCCCGTAGGTGATACTGTGGACGTCCGATTCAGCTTAAAACATGTATGTGCCTTAAATTCCGTGGGCAGAATACTCGTCCGCTGCGGTTGTGAATTGGTTGGAGGCGGTTTTATATCGCTGATGGCTGTCCAGGGACTCATAGCATATTTATATATATACAGGCAGGGGACGAGTTGAGAGCGTGCTCGGTCGCTGTCCGGTGGATCCAAAGTAGGTAATTTAACAGAAAAACGGCTTTCAAATAAGTGGAAAAAGAATAAAGAAAATTACTAAGGAAAAACGCGTCCAGCGATACGTTTTGCTTTTTAATGTTGTGATAAAATGAAAGTGAAAATTTACTCATACATTCCTCTTTACTCTTGGTTACGAGATTTGGTAGCTTCAGTTAGCTTGTCACGAATAATCGCTTCCCGAAACAGTATCACAGATATAAGCAAGGGACACAATAGTATTTATTTATTATATCTAACCCTCAATAAATGTCTTGGGACTCTTTCCAAAAACAGCCTTTTGACCGGTGCGTTCTTAAGTTCAGGAAATAAGTCAAACCCAAGGTTTGGACTCGTATATACTGAAATAAATGTGGACAGTTTGTCGTCACACACGCTGTTGGGGCTGTTTAAAACATGGCAATCATTTTGTTTTTCATATACATTAAAAATCTGTCATTATGACATACACCCCTAGTCCCAGCATTTTGTCCTACGGAAACGGTGCTAATAGGGGTTTTAGGGGTGACTACATAGGATAGGCAGTGAAGCAAATTTGTAGAAGAAAGGGGAAAGTGGAAAAATGAAGATGAAATTGTTTCCCGCGGCCGTTGGGATTAAGTTTTTCCGCATAAATGTTATAGGTATGCGCGACGTTTGGCGCCGCGGAGTATATTAAGTTAACTCCAGAACGGCAAGTTGGACCTCACGTAAGTCGAAGTAGACGACCTCCTAACCACCATTTCTGTTTTTTTTCAGGAACTTCAAGAGAACTGCATTTTGATAATCAGGTTTTTGCGCAATAAGTAAAACGATAATAGAGATTAGGAAACTCTACAAACATTAATCGACAACACTTCTAAGTATAATAAAATTAAAATGCATACAGCAGTTATTAACGTATATTCCACCTCTTATCTTTATTTTGCATCCATAAAACCTCTATTACTACCATTTCTGAGGACAAAATTCTGGAACTAGGGCTTAAGGAGGTGCACTACTCAAGCAACTGTTGCCGTAACCAGGAATAGATTTAATCACCCGATATGTTTTGCGATAATGAGCGTAAAAAGAGTAGAAAAGTGGCGCACCTTAACAGAACCACAGTGAGTTCATGTTATTTAGCATCATTCGGTCCTTACCCTCACTTACCTTTTGCGGTGTTCTCAATTACTTCTGATGAGTCGTGGTGACTGAAAGTTGTTGGCCTAATGCCTGCTTCCGTATTTATTGACGAATGAGCGCCTCAAGTAGATGCTGGTCAGTCAATTCAGCTGAATCCTGCACACACGTTAAATATCATGAGGAATAGATGCAACCGTACTATTTTGTTTGCAACACTAGACCTGGATGGCCAAACATAACAGTGAGCGAAATATCACGCTTTGCATGTTTGTAGGCTACGTTTTATGATCTCTATATCTATGTTCTGGTCTCCTGTCACCTTGCCTGGCAGATTAATCCTTGGCTGACTGCAAATTTTGCACATAATCCTCAGGAGAGTCGCAGTATTCCAATGGTCCAGGAAACTTTATAGATACTAGAAAAATTGTTCTGGTGTTCTTTTAATTATGCTGGTACCATTCATTTCTTTGGTATTCGCGTCAGCATTATCCTGAAAGACTCACTTTGGAAGACACTATCCTGACATCCCAGTGACATCGATAATACAGGAAGGCTGTACTAAATTTAAGCATTCACATTTTCTGGGCAAATTCGCGGTTTACAAGATCGTCATTTGGTTAACAGCCCTCCGATATCTTAAGTTAATTATCTTCTGCATGCAGCTGAAGCGAACAGCACTGAACTTTTCCGTTTGATATGCAACACAAGTTTCTGTTATGCTAAAGCTTAAGTCTCTTCTACTTGGCGATAAGGCAGATGAAGGAACGGTTTCCACTTGAAATAACCACTACTCTATGACTCCGCATGTGATTGCAAATGAAAGACGAGTCTTTCGTTTCTACTGAGGGATAAACAGCAAGACCTAAGATTCGCTTCCAATTTTGGAGCAATCATTGACTGATTCCTAACCTCCCGTGTCTGTAGGACAGCAGACACTCCAGTCGTGCACTTAAGGCTTACTGAGTATACCACGGGAAATGGTTTACACCACGGAGTCAAGCAGATTAAATGAGAAGTTGCGAATAAAACCTAAATCAATAAACATAACTACATAACAAATGAATGGGAGAAATCAGAAAGCGGTTGTTACAATAAACCACATAGTACAAGACTGACGACCCACTTATTCCAAAACCCATGCAGAATTTTTCTGCCAGAATGAGGTCCCAATTGCATACCTGTTTTTGTTAAAGCAAAATTTGAAGAGCCAATTATGTACCTTTGATATACGGATTTGTAAAGCTCATTTTCAATTCTCTTGAAATTTTAGATGTTGACATGCCTCGCAGAGGATATTTTGGCACCAATAAGTCTCATATTTTGTGGAAGGCTGGGCAAATCCGAGTTGGCGTCTGCTGGGTTAGCAGTTTCCATTTTTCACGTGGCTGGATTCTCTATTATTATGGGCCTCTTAACGGCTGGTGAGACCCTATTTGCTCAGGTGAAGCGAGAATTACTTGAAATGCTTCAATCAAACTATTACATTTTAGGAGAAACGTGCCCAAAAACTATTAACCAGTCATATAATATTTGTAGACATACGGAGGCTCAAACAAATTCCGCTTGGGAGTACAACTGCAGAGGGGTTAGTTTCAAATCTATATACTATACTATCGAATGTTCAAATTGAAATATTATCTTCTGAGTCATGAAAAGGCATTAAATATTATGCTTAAAATCCTTCATAAAAAACGGCCTCCTGAATCGGATGTTCATATTTGGAGAATCTGTAATCGAGTGGACTAGGTTAAGGCCAATAATGCTACTGTACAGTGTTCGACCTCATTTTATAAGGCATAACGAGATCAAAGCTGAAACGTCTGGCAAATACAAGCCCTTGATATGGCTAGTAATTTGCTATAATAGGAAAAGTAATAAGTTTATTGTGGGTACGATATGCGCCATGATAGTTTTGTGAATTAATAACCAGTATTAACTTCTAAAGCATCGAAACACCTGTTCTGTTATTAATCAAGTGCTCGCGCCTTTTTCATAAAAGCTTAGTGATGGTGCTATTGACTAACATGCAGCTATTTGTAAAAGAGTTAGACTTTTCTTCCAAGGGTTAGTAAGGTCTCTTAATATTTGATAAGCGAAATATGTTTTGTTCTTGTAAAGGTAGACATTTATTACTGGTGAACTACACAGTGGGATGCAAGCCAAATCAGGCAAATACCCGTAAATAACCCTGGACGCTGTATTGCTAGATTTCTGTGCGTGTTGCGATATCAGCTCTTCCAAGCAATTCGGTGCAAACAATTGCAAATGTGAGTAGGAAAATTTCGAATCTGAAAAATACGGAAAAAAATTCAAAATTCAAATGGTTGACCGGGTCACACTGGACTTTTACGCTACCAAGAGACTATCGCTGAATTTCCTGGTGTAAAGAAATGCAAATTAATTCAAAAGCAGGATGAGTAGCGGAGCCGATCCTAAAAGGTTCCTTTCGATCAGGGACAGCAGTTAAATTCAATCATTGAGAACCGTCAGTTGTGGCAGCTACATTTCGCGTTGTGTTCACCAATCACGCGTGAGACGGACACCTGAGTCAAGAATGTGAATCATTTTGCTATTGAAAATGTTTACTATCCACGTTTTCCCACCTAAGCTACGGTACCCAGGTCAGAAGAATGTGCCCACAAGAGGTCTGATAACTGACCTAACTGACTGAAAATTGGTGCAAGTCTGAACTTAGCATTTCCATTTTGCCTTAGCGACCAGAACCTAGAATCCAAGGAAGCAACCAGCCGTGGAATAGCAGTCGAAAATTGTGAAGTAGTGCCTTAAAAGACCGGCGCACCACAGTGGAATTTGTTGGTTTTGGACCAAAGGAGTGTACAACTATAACCAGCTCGATCATCCAAGGGAAATGACTCAACAGACACTAGTCTCAGATGATTTTCTGATTTAAATGCTAACTGCAGTTAATGTTCATTAAATTATGCCGTTGTCCAATTAATTTTCAGCCCTCTCCATCATCTTCCTCTGCTGTTTGCCCTGTGTCGCTATTTACTTCTGCATGGAACCTCTGCTTCTTGCAACCGGACAGCCACCACACATTGCTAAGTGAGTATTTTCAAAGTTTTGTTCAAACAGAGCAGAGTTACCAGTAATAGTAATGAAAACATGTTTCCCAGAAAAATTTAGAAGGAAAAAGGACGTTCACCGGGAGAGGTTTATTTGTTATCTGACGTTTCAGATAGCTGTTTTGTCTATGTATCTTTTGAGGGTGAATAATCTTGCTCCTGGTTCTCGTTATACGTCGCTATTTTCTTCCGCGTGCGTAGTCTCCCAATCGTGGCTGAGCCGATTTGCATGATTCGCGTTGACCCTGTCTGTAACTTGAGCTCTAGTGTTTGTTTGGTCCCCTCCCACGTTGGTCATCTGTGTCTTGCCCACCGCCGTATATCCATGACTTGTTTCATGGACATGCATGTTAACCGTGAAGCTATATGGCGGCCCCAATTGTTCCATGCCGTGACTATCGCCTGATAAGAATGTTTTTACTACAATATATGTGCCACAAAATGTATGTGGCACTTCACCAAATATCCAGGATTCTTCAATCTGTCTTGATATGTGATCATCACCTCGGCCTACAACTTCGACGAGGTCAAATTTGAAGACGTGCTCCATCTATGTAGCGAGGGTTGCTACTTCATGGGTATTTTGCATTTTCGTCATAGTGTAGGGAAATATGGGCTTTTTGTTAGATACACTGAATACAACAGGTAGCTTGGAACCATTTAATGCCACTGTAACGACAAGTCTGATGTAAAAATAATCCAGCATTTCATGAAGACCTGTTAAGCCGAAAACTGCTCTTTGTTAACTTATCAAGGTTAAGAAGGAAGAACGTCTTATCGGATATGTACAGTAAGGGATATTTTTGCATGCCTCCTATAAGACATTGTTGTGTATATAAGGGTACGGACGGTTAGTGGGAAAACAGTCATAATACTCAACTAGTCATTTCTGGGTGATTGGAAAAATGTTAATTTAATAGCGGACACCTTAATGTTACTGAAATATTCTGAGGATTCGCCATATGATAATTGTGTTTATAATCCTACTACGTTTATGTGTTCAAGTCATAAACGGATTTTATGATATAGTCGACTTGCAGGTAAAGTCTGAGCGCTTAATAAAAGACGCCTTGCCTGTACAGCTGTGCGCATGATTGCATTTGAAATTCAATAAAGCCAAAATTTTTAGGTACAGAATTTTTATAATGGTTAATCAAATTACCACGTTACCTATTTGGCGCTAAATGCAAGAACCAATCTTACACCAATGTGCAAAAAGTCCATGTTCTAGGTTGTTCGCAGTTATTTTTTGGGTAAGTGCCCTTCAGTTAAAAAAGCGGCCACACAGTTTTCATGACGAAAAAACCTTCGATCGACAGGAGCATTAAAGTTAATAGGATGGCGGCAAAAGTCATTCATAGGGTCATACACATTAACTAGACCCACGTTTTTCATATTTGCTATTCTAATATATTTTCGTAGCATTAACAGTTCGCTCAAAGGGGCTTTCTTGAATTTTAGATCCGCTTCTGAGTACTTGCTTGGATTAATACCGGGTCTCTTCGTAAGCATGCATAGTTGGATATGATATGTTTCCTTTCAGGGTGTAGCGGCTTATGAAATCCTGGTAAAGTACGTCCAGGCACAGGTATTTTTTGAAGGCAGCGTTGAAACTGTAACAACCACTTTGCTACACACATTGACTTGGCTATAGATTGAAATTTCATTTGTTCTACCGTAGAATAAAGTCCTCCTCCGTTCCTTACCGGTCTACTTGGGAATGCGGTCAACGCTGCTGCTCACTATATCCTCCTCTTTCACACCAATACTGGCCTCATGTAAATAACTTTTAAAAACTACTGCCTCGCTTCCTCCATTACCCCCAATCGCCGTGTGTAATTTTAATGACTGATAATTGCATTACATTTTTAACGCATCTTCTGATTTCAGACAACTTACGGATAAACGTTCGTTATTTAGTGAAGGGATTTAATGGAAATGTCGAAGAGTCCCTCATGTTTGCCAATCTTCATTTTCCGTATATCTGCGAGGAATGTGATAGATATAAATCGATTGTTTTTCTGGGTGTATTCAATCCTTTATACATGAATTGCTTCCAACTGTGTGTAAATCTCAGGGCTAGAGCTTGAATAACACGTCCTGCGCCTCGCAAACACACAACACAGCTGGAGTTTGTTTGCAATTTTTGAATTTTTTGTTCGAGAGTTTTTCAAATAGGACAGCCTTCGTGTGAAAATGACTAAACGTTTGCACTGTTTTCAGCAGTCCATAAAAATCCATTTACCAGTCACAAAATCCTCCTGAGACTAGGATATTCATCGGTAGATTAAGTATATTTGCGCCACATTTTGGGAGAATCATCTTCATGTATCCTAGCTATAAGGGTAACCCGACCGGGAATTTACCGCAAGGTCACTTGTAATGCACTGCTCAAAGTCGTCATTTTCTTTACTGGTCTCGGTATCTCGCAAAAAGTCCAGACATGAAAACAGAGCAGATAGGTAGATAGGACTTTATGTGATGTGTCAATCGAAAGGCTGGTTGCAGCTATACTTGTCTAAAGCACTCTTTATTTAATTATCTTGAAGAGCACAGCTACAGTACTAAAAGGCTAACTGCATAACTATAAATAGTTATTTTTGATTGTTATAAATTTTAGAGGATCTTCCATCTCCCAATCACTGGGCTTCTTGACGCAGGCTCTGAGCTTACTGGTCTATATAATTTGTTCAAATATGTATCGCAAAACGTGGAACGGTATGTTAAAATTATTCCATGCAGTGTTTAACTTTACAGTCTCTTTGTTGTTCGAGACATATTCCACCAATAGACTTGTGTAATGTGCTGGTGTTTCCTCTTTTGTGAACTTTACATAGCCCGAAGTTTTGAATGATCTCTCACTAGTTTTTTTTCAAACGTATGAATTACGTCCACCATACGTTCACCAAAAAATACGAAATTCGCCATTGTTGCATTGAATAGCGCTAATTAACTGTAGTTCGTAGGCTTGTAAAAATTGATGCCCAACGATTTTAGAACCACCGGAGCCTCTAGGCTTCTCTGATAAAGACGAAATTCGTATAGACTATATGGCCAAGAATAAGATGCACCCGTTGAGCATTTATTATTAGAGCAACTTCAGATATGCTTAAAAGCTTAACTGTTATACGTTGGACAAAGCAAATGCAGTGGTTAAATGTTAACCTCGAGTTACCCGTTTGCGTGGTAAGCATGCATACACCACCGTGGATACGCCGCTCCACTTGGAGTTGGAGAGAGCGATCCCATACGTCAAAAACGTATCGGAAGCCATCAGTCGCCTTCCCGCACCACTTGGAGTTGGAGTCGCACACAGGTCGGAGGCAACCATAAGGCGTAGGATAATGAAGCCGAAAGACCCACTGCCACGGCAAGAAACATCCGGGGTCGTCCACAGGATCTGGTGCAGTTGCGGTCAAAACAACTATGTCGGAGAAACTGGCAG